TATTGTTCTGTTCGAAAAAATCTTCCCTTCACTTCATCATTTACATACAATGAATTTGTGCAAATATACATCCCAACATACATATGTCCGAATATGCCATTCTAACTACGAATTATGACTAAGCATCAAGAATTGTTGTTTTTCTCGTTCACTTTAATTTTTCTAATCTCAATTCATTGCCCTTTTCCAGACTTATGGCGATACTTTGCCATCGGCGGGCCTTTATTTCCTCAGAGTCATACGATTTATATCTAACCGAGAATAAGTAAATTTAATCATTTCGTCAGTTTAACAGCCAGCCGGCGAGCCAGCCAAAGTCAGCTGCTAGTCATCATGAGATAACAGTTTTTCCAAGTAAATCAAGTTTCTAGACATATTTTCTTGTTCATAATTTTTTGCAAAATAACATAAAATATTCATACATACATATCGACATACATACATGCATACACATACCGTCTAGATAAAATTGCAATTGTTGTTGTTGTTGTTATTCTTCCTAGTTTCTTAAATGAAGTTGGTTGTGCGCAGTTCAATCATTAATTCATTTTGTTCTGGTCAGTAGCAGCCTTACCAGCAATGACTCCAGTTTATGAAGTACACCTCAGGCTAGATGTATGCTCAGCTAGATGTGATATGCGCCTTATGCCATTCTTTGCCATATTTCGTCTGGAGAATTAGTTTTAAACTGCATCCGGTCAATTTGATGGTGTAATTTTTGGTTGGGTTTTATTGGCTAATTTTCTATTTTTTTTTTTTTTTTTGATTTTTTTAAATGTAATAAAAATTAAAATGTAATTATTGCCACAACAATTACAACATTAATTTCCATTATTTCATGGCCTAGTTTGGAAAATAATTTGGAAATATGAAACTGAGTTGAAGTAATTTTGGAAAAATATTAGTGGCCAATAATACAGATGGTCAAGTTAGACTAGGAATTTTGAAATTACACCGAAGGTCATTTTGTAAATTATATGCTCTCATCTTAAGATGATATGATTGAATTAAGTCTAGTTCTTGGATTACAATCCAACGATTAAAATATTCATAGGCTGAAATAAACAACAATGTACCATTTAAACCATGTCCTTATTTCCACATTTTTAGAGGCCCCCAAATGGTTCACTTACGTGTATTTTTAAAATATTTTGTAGAATCATACGGACGTGTTTTATTGTGTAGTTGAAATATCTAGAGTTAAATGTAACCTTGATCTTGTAAGCTTTCGGCTCGATTTGGCCAACTTTAGCAAAATTTGTTTGTATTTCAGATTTTTTCAAATATTTGAAAGAGTTTTTTTTTTTTTTTTTTTGAGAAAAAAAAAGAAAAAAAAAATTTTATTACAAATACTTCAAAAGTGACTGTTTTTGATATGAAATCATTGATAGATTCCATTAAATCATCATTAAAACTCATCCTAATTATTACGTTATTACGAACGCCTAAAAGTATGCTTTGATTTTAGGAAGTGAAATGCACACAATTGTGTTGCCATTTTTTTTAACTTTCCGACCAAACGTTTTTATTTAAAAGAAATCCAGTAGGAAAGGAACCAAAGCATGGCGAGAACGCCTTATGGGCACCCTACAACTCTATGCATGTTTAGCTGTGCTTCTCGTAACAAATATACGTTTTTTGGGAAATTTTGTCTTATGTAAATCACACCAGCTGAATGGTCGTAATTAAATGCGTAGAGTCAACAATTGGAGAGGTTTTTTTCGGTGCTTAATTATACCCTACACCACATAGTGTGTAAGGGTATTATGTCTTTGTGCATTAGTTTGTAACATGGAGAAGGAAGCGTGATAGTTACTTTTGGGGTCCTTCATAGAATCACTTTCTGAATCGATTTATGCATGTCAGTCCGTCTGTCCATGTATTTTTGTAAACCAAATGCAGGTCACGTTTATTATCCGATTGAGATAAAATTTTCCAAACAATATTTCTTTGTCGCAAGTACGAACCCTATTGAAATTGGTGAGAATCGGTTCAAATTTAGATATAGCTCCCATATATAGCTTCAATCGATTTCGGGTTAATTGTGCAACAAATTGCCAATATTAGTCCAAATGACCCGAAGTTTGACACATCTAACCGAAATCAGTCTAGAAGCAAGTACATATAAATCGGTCCATATATAGCTATATCTCCCAAATGTATGTTTTATCCGATTTGGTGTTTAAGCCCCTCACATGCGTAATAGGCACTTCAAAACAATGATATTTGGTACCAGATATAAGATAAAGCCCAGATATGCCTCTGCCAAATTTTATCAAGATCGGTTCATATTTGGATATAGCACCCATATATTCAACCGATTTCGGGTTAATTGTGACCAGATGGCTAAAATCGGCCCAAATGGACTGATTTTGGGCTATTCCGACCGAATTCATCCTAGATACAAGTATATTAAATTGGTTGGGTTCAGATATAGGTATGGCTACCCATATATATCTCTTATCCGATTTGGTGTGAAAGTCCCTCAAATTTGTAATATGCACTCCACAATAATAATCTTTAGTACCAGATATCAGATACAGTTTAATATTTTGCCGAGATCGGTTCAGATTTCGACATAGCCCCCATATACAGGGTGAGATGAAAAAACTGCAATCAATTTCAGACTGCTGCCATTTCTAAGCCACTTGTCCGACAGCTGTTAAAATTATTTCAGTGACAGCTCATTATATTGTTTACAGGCGTACAAAAGCATTTTAGTGAGAATTTTCCAGAAAAAGTTATTCGTGATGATATTCAAGCGTGATAGTGTGATTTCTTTATATTTCGCTGGAAAACCACAAGTGGCTATCGTTAGAGCACTCCAGCATTTAAATGTGAATAAATCTTTTGTGTCTCGTACCATCGCTCGTTACTGTGATACTGGTAGCGTAGCCCGACGTCAAGGAAGTGGACGAAAAGAAAAAACAGCAACATCAGCAGAAATTTTTCGAAAAGTAAAGAAGCGACTTGATAGAAATCCGCGTCGCAGTGGCCGAAAAATAGCTCGTGAGCTGAACGTATCGCAATATTCCCTTCGCAAATATTGAAAAATGAGCCATTGAAATTCCAAAAAGTCCAAGAACTTACACCCCAACAGAAAGAAAATAGACTCAAAAGAGCTAAAGAGTTGCTTCGCTTGGCCGAAAGTGATGAACTGCCGAATTTAGTTTTCTCCGATGAGAAAACATTCGTTGTCCAGCAGTTTGTAAACAAACAAAATGATCGTGTTTACTTGCCAAAGAGGTCAGCAGAAAATGTGAACCTTCGGTTGGCCACCAGAACTCAAGCGCCGGCCATAGTGAAGATGTGTGCCCCCATAGCAGCCGATGGTCGCTCTCCGCTCGTTTTAATCGCGAAAATATTCTGTAGGATGTATTAAAGCCTTGGGCACGCAAAATATTTTGGCCGCAGACCTGGAACAGGACTTAGCGTCATCGCTCTCAGCACGTTCACCCAAGAATGGTTACAAAATGAGGTTCCTCGCTTCATTTCCAGCACACAATGGCCACCAAAATCTCCGGATACCAATCCATTGGACTATTGTGTCTGAAGTATTTTGGAAGGAAAGTTTTGCACTAAAAAATACCAAATTGTCGATCACCTCTAGCAAGCGCTTTGCCGGAAATGAGCCAAAATACTGCAGAGCAACTGTTGGCCAGGGTGTGACGGTTTCATTGCCCGTTCGAAGGCCATAATTCGTGCCAAATGTGACCAATTTGAACAAATCTAAACTTATTGTAAAATTGATGCTATTTCCGACAATTTTCGCTCTCATTCAATAAAATTTTAGAAAAAATCTAAAAACTATGGCATTTTACTTTGTGACACACTGTTTGTACAAATAAGAAATCGTGGTCCTGCATAGACCACTTTTTTTCAGAAGGGTGGTATCCACTGAGAAGTTTAAATGACAAATTTCACACACTTTCTTTAGAAACTGTGATCTATATCACCAACATCAACAGAATATCGGAAGGTGGCATTGTATGGGGAATAAAGGAATATGTGATTCATGTTCAATAGGGGTTATTATCTATTCTGAGCTTTAAATACCATCTTTTAAAGAAATCCAATAGAAAAGGTGTGTTAAATCTTCAAAATTACGAATATTGAGAGATACCGTTAAATTAGTGTTATACGAATATGTGGCCCTATATAGACCACTGTCTGCCTGAAAGATTAGTATGTATTAAAAACATAAAATAGGTAATCTCGTGAAAACGAGAATAAACCCCTTTGGGCACACCTCACCTATTTGGACCAAATTATTTGGATTTCTCTGTTTTGATATGTTTACCATCGTATCAAAAATTGGCCAGGACAACTAATTTGTGAAATATTTTCAACGTGTCGATAATTCTCTACTTTGAAATCTCAATGGGCTCAAAATCGTTTGCCCATCAATGTCCAGGTTTTAAAATACCTCAACTGCATCTCCAAGTTATGGTCAATCTAAATATCCTCTTTTAATAAATTAGGGATAGTTTGTGGTTCATTTAAGACTTCAATCTCATTTTTCAATCGATTTGGATGTAATTTAAGTATCTCTATGGCGAAGGGACATAATTTTGGTCCGGCCTAATTTGTAACCATGTTTGCCGGTTAACGTTGGAGCTACTCATTAATACGTATAAACCCTAAAACAGATCTCTTTGGCATGGAATTTGGTCTTCAGATTCACTACACATGAACTAATACCACTAGTGTTTCTATAATTGTAGACCTACAGGTCTACTGTGGATTAAAGGAATATCCCCAGATTTCTATGGGTATAAGGCTTTGTATATGCCTATGACGATCTATCATTTATAGACAAACTTTTACCGGTCTTTTCTAGGTGAAATATAGTTGACCATTCATTTGATAAAATTTTCAAACAGCATTTCTTATATATTATTTTTCCCTTTGAGTTCTTTGTTCTCCATTTTTGCATATAGAGTATTTGCAACTTGAAATTTCTTATTCTTGTTATCGACCGCTAAATAAAATTCTCCATCTTCCACAAAAATAGGTATATATATTTATTTATAAAAGTATATAAATTTATTCACATATTACAGTACTACAATATATAATTTTTTTTATATATTTATATACACATAAATGGGAGGAATTCGTTTGGTGTGTTAGTGTGTAGATGTGTCGGACTAAACGACATTCGTATTGATTAATGATTTTGATCTCAAGCATCAAGCTTAAGATACCAACGAAAAAAGTTTCCCCTATATGACGACAGAAAGAAAAAAAGATAAATAAAATTAGAGAACTTATATAAAACAAATTAAAAATTCTTTTAACCAATAAAAATATCGCATGTATATATTTAGATGACTTATAAGCTACGGGAAGAAAGGAATAAATTATTATCGTTGTTCAAAATACAAGAAAAAGCTAAACGGCCAAAAAAAGGGTAGGTTTTGCCTAAGAAATCCCAATGGGGACCACTTGAATATGAAGAAAAAAATAATTGTCATGATGATGTTGGTTATGATTATGTTATGGAGAGAGCATAGTCTTTTTGTTTCTTTTTTGTTCATGCTAAACATTTCTGCTTGCGGAATGTTTTGTTCTTCGCGGCCACCGACTGTTAGCTTTTAAGGCATATTTTGGTAAATTTTTGGTTATTCTCTGAATACAGACTACAGAATAGAAGTTTTTTTCTCTTTACTTAATAAAAAAATGTTGTGTTCGGCAAAAACAATTTGTTCATTTAATTTAAAAAAAATGTTGATCACGTTTAATCACGTTTGGCTTTTGAAAAGACAATTTCTTTTGGATATCTTACATACTAGTCGTAACAACAAAATAAAAAAGATTTCTGTATTTTTGTTTGATTTTACAAAATAAAAAAGAAATAATCCCCTTTCTATTCCACTATGTTTTTTTTTTCATGTAAAAAATATGTTTAAATTCTTCTAAAATCGCATCCATCCATCCAACCATCATCTCTCTCTCTCTCTCTTTCACTTAGCGTGCTGTCTTCAACTTCCATTTCAAGAAGAGATATGCCGACAGTCTCAACACCACAAAGATCACGACCAGAGCAACAATATCCAAAGTATAGCTAGCATCAACCATATCCAATTCTTCCAATGTGGTCATGGGCGATTTGAAATGACAATAGGTTTGGAAGCACTTCAATTTCTCACGACCGAAACCATAGGTGGCCAAGGCAGTACCTTCGAAACCATAACGGATGTATGACAAATAGGTGATCCATCTCAGGTAGACAGGGATGGCATCGAACGATACAAAGAAGCCGGAGAAGAGCAAGAATGGCACCGACATGACAGGGGCCAAGAAGACACCATTTTGCACATTCATGGCAGCGCCCACAACCAAACCGACCGATTGGGCGACAAATGAGATCATCAGACAGGCACCCAAGAACATTGCAAAACGCACCAACTCCCATGGCTGTGAGGTGAAGTAGTAAACAATTGCCACATAGATGGTACAGAAAATAGCCTGGAAGAGGGGAGAGTGAACATTTTTATTAACTCAAATGTATTTTATCGGAAATGAAGAAGAATATTTTTCCAACTTACCTGGAATGGTATATCCGCCACGGATATAGCCAAATAGTACGATTTCAATGAGTACCATCGATTAAAGTTTTCCTTTAGCAATACCGGCATTTCGAGAGGGACTGAAAAGAATGAAAATAACGTTTGATTAAAGGATTCAAAAAAGGTTTTGAAAGCTGGATATAGAGGGTGAGATGAAAAAACTGCAACCAACTTCAGACTGCTGTCATTTCTAAGCCACTCGCCTGACAACTGTTAAAATTATTCCAGTGACAGCTCAATATACAAGCGTACAAAAGCATTTTGGTGAGAATTTTCCAGAAAAAAAGTTATTTGTGATGGAATTCAAGCGTGATAGTGTGATTTCCTTATATTTGGTTGGAAAACCACAAGTGGCTATCGTTAGAGCACTCCAGCATTTAAATGTGAATAAATCTTTTGTGTCTCGTACCATCGCTCGTTACCGTGACTCTGGTAGCGTAGCCCGACGTCAAGAAAGTGGACGAAAGAAAACAGAAACATCAGCAGAAATGGTTCGAAAAGTAAAAAAGCAACTTGATCGAAAACCGCGTCGCAGTGGCCGAAAAATGGCTCGTGAGCTGAACATATCGCAATATTCCATTCGGCAAATATTGAAAAACGAGGCCGGGGGTAAAGCCATTGAAATTCCGAAAAGTACAAGAACTTACACCGCAACAGAAAGAAAATAGACTCAAAAGAGCTAAAGAGTTGCTCCGCTGGGCCGAAAGTGGTGAACTGCCGAATTTGGTTTTCTACGATGAGAAAACATTCGTTGTCCGGCAGTTTGTAAACAAACAAAATGATCGTTTTTGCTTGTTGGTGCCAAAGAGGTCAGCTGAAAATGTGCACCTTCGGTTGGCCACCAGAACTCAAGCGCCGGCCATGGTGATGGTGTGGGCCGCTATAACAGCCGATGGTCGCTCTCCGGCCGTACTAATCGACCGTTACATCAGAATAAATTCTGAATATTCTCGCGAAAATGTTCTGGAGGATGTATTAAAGCCTTGGACACGCCAACATTTTTGACCTTTGACATTCCAACAGGACTTTGGAGAAGCACCATCGCACTCAGAATGGTTTCAAAATGAGGTTCCTCGCTTTATTTCCAGCGCACAATGGCCACCAAAATCTCCGGATACCAATCCGTTGGACTATTGTGTCTGGAGTATTTTGAAAAGCAAGGTTGGCACTAAAAAATACCAAAGTGTCGATCACCTCAAACAAGTGCTTCCCAGGAATTGACCAAATTGCCGCAGAGCGTTTGAAGGTCATAATTCGTGCCAAATGTGACAAATTCGAACCAATTTAGACTTATTCTAAAATTTAATGCTATTTCCGACATTTTTGCTTTCATTCAATAAAATTTAAAAATAAATTGTAAAAATTATGGCGTTTGACTTTGTTGCAGGTTTTTTATCTCGCCCTGTACATTCTTGTGGACCTTTACCTCATGCACAGTGGGTTGTTCTTATGTTTTGTTTTTAATCTATTTTTTTAATATTTGTCAAACGGGATAAAGTGTAGAACTGTACTAAATCTGGGTTTGGGTGAAGGTATGGAGTTGGAATTTTGAAATGTTAATATTGGGATCACTGTGATTTTGGAAATATGAGCTAAAAAGTACTAAATATGGTGGTTGGGAAAGGAATATAGTTGAAAATCTCACATTTTGTAATGGTATGACTTTTTGTGAGGACTTGGATATACGTACTTAAAAAAGTACGAAAAGTCCTTAATTATATGGGAAGCACAGCCCTCTCCCAAGGAGGCAAAGGCTTCTCAGTCGATTACCTTTTTGGTAACCATTGGAAAAAAACAAGTAAGCAAAGGCTATAGTCGTGCGGGGCCGACCATGTGATACCCTACAACACTACAATATGTTAGAAGCACCCTTATGTCCAAGTCCATTTTGGAAGATTTCGCTTTTGAAATTTTGTCATGGAGCACTGCACAGATATTGTCCTTAGCATTTGACCAGAGACATTTGCGCACTCCGTCGTGCTGTTAGTTGTTGTGGTCCATTTTACAGCTAAATATAATCAATGGTCATCCAAAAAGCTAGAATTCTTCCCTATCCCTAACTCTCTTCTCAGGCATGTCGATTGGCTTCAATTGTGTGATTAGGATTTTTTTTCTGTTTTTGGTTCATTTGAACCCCTCAACATTTTGCGATCATCTCCAAAAGCAAGAAGCCGCTCTGCATCTACAAATTTAGACCTTGATTTGCTTGACTACGATATTTGGCTATATTCATCAACGATTTGTCAAATTCGGTCCAGCCATTCTTAAGATATATGCATTCTAGCTAACATCCCCTTTCATTGTATATTTACATTGTATATATTTCACGATATATATCAGATATATTTACTATCGACATCTACGTAACGGTCAGAATTGACCTCTGCATCTATTTCTGATTTCGCCGGGATTAAAAATATTCGCGGTTCAATGAAAAATTTGAGTTTTATTTAACACAAATGCTATGGTCTAATTCACCCACTAAATATTACCCGATGACCATCACAATTGGAAGGCTTCTGTCCAGCCCTAAGTTCTAGCCCAATGTTAACTTCCGCGTCGATTGGTCTATAATTGCGACCTGTAGAGCAACTGCAAAATGAGGAAAATTTTCAGTATTTGGTCCATTTCAACCCCTAAATATTGTGCGATCATCTCCAAAAGCAATAGCGTTCTATTCTGGCCCAAACCCCACCTCCATTCTAAATTTCGTGAAGATCGGGCCATAATTGCGACGTGTAGAGTGATTACAAATTAACATGGACAGACGGACATACATACATAGATCGACTCAGCTCGGCGAGATAGGAAGATCCATATATACTTTCCTATATGGGAAACCAATATTTCGAGGTGTTACATAATTTTTGGCCCAATCAAACTTATAATATCCCCAACACATAGTGTTGTAGGGTATAAAAATAACAAAACCGGGCCGACTGAAAACCCATTTCAAAAACCGAAAAATGGTTCAAAGGAAGTGTGAACCGAACCAACGCAAATCCACAAGTGGTTTGAGGGGTTTACCACCTTATTTAAAACCTCGTAGTATTCCCCAAGAATATTCCATACTTACATGATAAAATCGTAATTGTCATGGAGGTGTACATCAAGAACAACATATTGAAGAAGAGGAAACCCAAATTACTCAAGACCTTGGCGCCATCATTACCAATGTCATAGTACAGGGCACCGATCAAGAAACCGACCAATAAATGGGCAAACAAACGCAAGTACATGAGAGTCTAAAAATACAAATAAAAAACGCAACATTAGCATTACTTTATCACACGGAATACAAAAAACAAACTTACCCAATCGCGGAAACTGAACAGCAGAGTACGCTTCAAGACAATCCAGAACTGATGGAACTGTGATGTGGGATAACGTTCCGGTGATGTGATTTCCGATGACAACAAAGCCGTTGTGCAATTATCTGTTTTCTCCAGCTCAATCATGGCATCGCCCTTTTCATTGGTGCTCACAACCGGTCCGCTGGATTCTTTGGCAATATCATTGACTAAATTCGATTTCAAAATACCATTGTTCAACTTTAGATTATCCTCAAATTTGCCACCCGTAGAATTGGCAGCATCATTTTTATCCAAAATGGCCTTTAGATTTTGCATCTTCATCAAATCGTTGCGGGCCTTTAGTTCAGCATAATCGGCCGCCGAACGAATATCTTTACTACCATTGCCAATGGCATCGACCAGACGACGTGTATGGTCACCATGTTCACCGCATGCCACTTCAATGATGTAACTGGCCGGATTGTGATAACTGGGACATTCCAAATTCAAGGTGGACAAGAAGGGAACCAATTGCTTAGTGCTACCCTGATAGACACACTGACCATCTGACAACGTGTACAGTTGATCGAACATTTCGAAAAGACGAGCCGAAGGCTGATGAATGGTACAGATAATGGTACGACCACCCTCGGCCAACATTTTCAGCAAATTAATACATTGGAAACATGTCGAACTGTCCAGACCCGATGTGGGCTCATCGAAGAACATAATCGGGGGATTATTCACCAATTCCAAGGCAATGGAGAGACGTTTCTTTTGACCACCCGATAGATTGCGTGTCAATGTGTTACGATGTTCGCTCAAGCTCAGGGTCAAAAGAATATCATCGATCTGAAATGGATAGAAGAGAATGGGGATTAATTTTTAATTTTAAATAGGGGGAAATCTAAAATTAAATATAGAAACGGGTGAACCCTATTAGATTTAAAATAAAAAGGGGGAATATCTTACATCGAAAAGGGAGTTTTAAGACATTTTGGAGTTATACTTTAGTTACCAGATCATCGATAATCATTTTATAGGCAGAGCAACTCTCTTGGACCAACTAAAGCTAGAAGTCCTACTAAACTTTTAAAAGCAATGGGGTCCCTAGTTTTGGCACAATTTTTAAGAAAATAATTAAAAAAAATAATAAAACTCCGAAATAAAATGTTCCAGTTATTGAAGATTGTAAAAGACACAAACATATATTCCAACTCCCTTTAGATTTGGCCCAGTAGGCTTTGTTGACAATTTCTGGAAAAAATTAAATATCCAGGGTGAGATAAAAAAACTGCAACAAAGTCAAACTCCCTGATTTTTACATTTTTTTTTATTTTATTGAATGAAAGCAAAAAATGTCGGAAATAGCATCAAATTTTAAAATAAGTTTAGATTTGTTCAAATTGGTCACCTTTGGCACGAATTATGGCCTTCAAACGGCCAATGAAACCGTCAGACGCTGCCCGCATGTTGCTCTGCGGTATTTTGTCCCATTTCCGGCGAAGTGCTTGATTGCTTTTCAAAATACTCAAGACACAATAGTCAAACGGATTGGTGGCCATTGTGCCCTGGAAATGAAGCGAGGAACCTCATTTTGTAACCATTTTTGGGTGGCGCGGCATCAGACCGTGGCATCAGAATAAATTGCCGAATATTATCTCGAAAATATTCTGGAGGGAGTATTAAAGCCTTGGGCACGGAAACATTTTGACCGGAGCATCTGATTAATACGAGTGGAGAGCGACCATCGGCTGTTTTGGCGGGCCACACCATCACCTTGGCCGCCGCTTGAGTTCTGGTGGCCAAACGAAGGTGCACATTTTCAGCGGACCTCTTTGGCAAGTAAACACGATCATTTTGTTTGTTTACAAACTGCGGGACAACGAATGTTTGCTCATCGAAGAAAACCAAATTCAGAAGTTCACCACTTTCGGCGAAGCGAAGCAACTCTTTAGCTCTTTTGAGTCTATTTTCTCTCTGTTGCGGTGTGAGTTCTTGCACTTTTTGGAATTTCAATGGCTTTACCCCGAGCTCATTTTACAATATTTGCCGAATGGAATATTGCGATATGTTCAGCTCACATGCCATTCTTCGGCCACTGCGACGCGGGTTTCGATCAAGTCGCTTCTTTACTTTTTGAACCATTTCTGCTGAAGTTGCTGTTTTCTTCTGTCCACTTCCTTCACGTCGAACTACGCTACCAGTATTACGGTAACGAGCGATGGTACGAGACTCAAAAGAGTTATTCACATTTAAATGCTGAAGGGCTCTAATGATAGCCACTTGTGGTTTTCCAGCCAAATATAAAGATATCAAATTATCACACTTGAATTCCATCACGAATAACTTTTTTTTCTGGAAAGTTCTCACCAAAATGCTTTTGTACGCTTGTAAGCAATATAATGAGCTGTCACTGGAATAATTTTAACAGCTGTCAGACAAGTGGCTTAGAAATGGCAGCAGTCTGAATTTGATTGCAGTTTTTTTCATTTCACCCTGTATATTTGTCCAAGATGCCAAAATGAATTTGTGTATTTTTTATGTTTCTAAAATTACAAATAATCGGCTTCCAACAGCATAAAGATATTTCCCCCTTTAGATTTGGCACAGTAGAATGTGCTGATAACATTTTTGGAAAATCACAAAATTATTTTTTCAACATTTTGGAAGGGAATTGGGCTCTGGATATTTTTGGAAGTACTTTCCCCCAGATTTTCAATGATATTTTCCATATGGACCTATCTCTCCTAGATTTGGCACAGGTATGCGTTAATAAAATGAAACATTTTTTTAAATTTTCAACAGATTTTTTGCCTTTATAATATTTTTGCAAATAATTCTAACCAGCTACAGCTACAGTGGAATAAGAAAAATATATAATAAAAATAGGTTTTTTTTCAAAATTTCCAAAATGAAATATTGAAGTTATGGAAGCTTTCCAAATCACTTCTAACCACTTTTTCAATGGTACATTGAATTATTACCCAATTATTTCAAGACTTCGCACAATGACACATTTTTTTCAATACATTCTAACAAAGTATCAAATTTCGACTTGGTGAAATTTAACTCAAATCCCCATAAATGTCATGCCAAAATTCGTGATTTTTTTCTAAAATATTCCATAATGTGTGTCTAAACAAAGTCATTAAACAAAGAATGTAACTTAAAGACGAATCTGTCATAAATTTCAAGATGTTTCGTGCAGATAATTTATTTCAAATTGAATGTATCCAAGCTCATAGCTAGACAAAACGTAGAAAAAAGCATCCTACAATTATTAAATGTACGAAATGGAGCATTAATATTTCCGCACATTTGTCTAACGAGTTGTTTTTTTTTTTTTTTTCTTTTCTACGGAAATACAAAAACAAATTTGTGCTTGAAACTAAAACAAAGCGAACGAACGTGTCTTCTACACGACTACGATGTTTGGAGGTATGAAAAACAAGTCAGCATAAGTTGTGAGTTTGACAGAGACAAATTGCAGCCAACAAAATACTAGTTGTAAGGCAGACAATTTTGAGAAAAAACTAAACAATAGCTTAAGAAATTCTTAAAGAAACCCCTCGATTTTTTTGTTATTCAAAGATAGTAAATCCATTGTAAGGCAGAAAGTTTAAAAATAAATGGAAATATAATAACTTAAAAAATATCAAATAAAGGTCTAGACCTATCTTTGTTGCTCAAAAAAAAAAAATAATAATAATAATAAATAAATAAATTAATAAAAAAAAAACTCACCATCGATTGTTTTTCGGCTTTGGTGAATTTTTTGCTCAACTTCAGATTGGTAGCAACAGTCATGGCCTCCTGGACGGTCAAATTGCCGTGCAATTGATTGTCCTGCATAATGTAGGCCGATAATTTACGGAAGGCACTGATGTTACGCTCATGACCATTCATTGTTACACTACCCTCGATGTTGGTGGCTCTGGAAATAAATAAAGGAAGATTTACATTAGAACATGTTATTGAAACGGACTTAAACTACAGATTATAAAAGACCTTCTCTTTAGATAGAATGCATTTACCTATATTTTTCACAACGAATTAATAATTTCAATACATATAAAAAAATGGTTTTATTTTACACATTTTTATACCAAATCTAACTTTTCTCTATAGTAAATTTTTAACAAGTAAGTAAAGACTATAGCCGTGCGAGGCCGACAATGTGATACCCCACAACGCTATAACATATTAAAAACCCCTTAGATCCAAACCAAATTTATTCGATTTTTCTGGAAATAATGCCATACAGTCCTGCAAAGAAGTTTACCTTTGCTTTTGACCGATGAAATTGGCTTATACAGGGTGAGATGAAAAAACTGCAACCAACTTCAGACTACTGTCATTTCTAAGCCACTCGCCCGACAGCTGTTAAAATTATTCCAGTGACAGCTCATTATATTGCTTAAAAACGTTCAAAAGCATTTTGGTGAGAATTTTGCAGAAAAAAAGTTATTCGTGATGGAATTCAAGCGTGATAGTGTGATTTCTTTATATTTGGCTCGAAAACCACAAGTGGTTTTCGTTAGAGCACTCCAGTATTTAAATGTGAATAAATCTTTTGTGTCTCGTACAATCGCTCGTTACCGTGACACTGGTAGCGTAGCCCGACGTCAAGTAGACGGAAGAAACCAGCAACATCAGCAGAAATGGTCCGAAAAGTAAAGAAGCGACTTGATCGAAACCCGTGTCGCAGTGGCCGAAAATGGAAAATGGTTCGTGAGATGAACATATCGCAATATTCCATTCGGCAAATATTGAAAAATGAGCTCGGGATAAAGCCATTGAAATTCCAAAAAGTAAAATAACTTATTCCGCAACAGAAAGAAAATAAACTTAAAAGAGCTTCGCTTGGCCGAAAGTGGTGAACATCCGAATTGGGTTTCTCCGATGAGAGAATATTCGTTGTCCAGCAGTTTGTAGACAAACAAAATGGTCGTATTTACTTGCCAAAGAGGTCAGCTCAAAATGTGCACCTTCGGTTGAACACCAGAACTCAAGCGCCGGCCATGGTGATGGTGTGGGCCGCCATAACAACCGATGATCGCTCTCCGCTCGTATTGATAGACCGCGAAAATATTCTGGAGGGTGTATGAAAGCCTTGGGCACACAAACATTTTGGCCGCAGACCTTGGACATTCCAACAGGACTCAGCACCATCGCACTCACCACGCGCCACCCAAGAATGGTTACAAAATGAGGTTCTTCGCTTCATTTCCAGTGCACAATGACCACCAAAATCTCTGGATAAAATTTCATTGGACTATTGTGTCTGGAGTATTTTGGGAAGCAAGGTTGGCACTAAAAAATACGTGTCGATCACCCCAAGCAAGCGCTTCGCCGGGAATGGGCCAAAATACCGCAGAGCAACATTCGGGCAGCGTGTAACGGTTTCATTGACCGTTTGAAGGCCATAATTCGTGCCAAAGGTGACCAATTCGAACAAGTCTAAACTTATTCTAAAATTTGATGTTATTTCCGACATTTTTTGCTTTCATTCAATAAAATTTAAAAAAAACAAAAATATAAAAAATAATGGCGTATGGCTTTGTTGCAGTTTTTTATTTCACCCAGTATTTCTTCCCCAAAAATCAAATTTAGTACAAATTAGTAGTTTTGGTACTTTTGTTTGTAAATATTTCCGAAACCACTTTCAAAGCTCAACCCTTAACACTAACAGTGACCGAACTCAAATTGTACCACAGTTTGTACAGTTCGTAGACTTACATATTGCAAAAAAAAAAAACCTGCTTATATCAACCTTACATCGCTAACTTAATTTTGTACAAAATCTAGCTCTATCCGTTCATGTAAATTTTTGTACTTTTGGTACTTACACACACCCCAAAATCCCTTTGGTTTGCCTATTCTAAATCACAGCAGAAACCCTCATTTCAAAACTCAGATTTCAACCACCTCGCAGAAAATGATGCTCATTCCAAATTTTTGATTTCTAACTTATTCCTTTTCCCAATAGCTAATAATGTAGTATTAAATTTTAGTACATTTTGTACATATTTCCAAAACCACTTTCAAATGTCAACCTTTAACACATACAGTGACCTCAATGTCAAAATTTCAAAATTCCAGGTCCTACGTTAACCCAGAAGACCTCCTGAAGGTCTTCTATGGACAAAAGATCTCTTGAAGGTCTTCTATGAACAAAAGACAACCTGAAGGTGTTCTATGGACAGAAGACCTCCTGAGGGTCTTCTATGGACAAAAAACCTCGTGAAGGTCTTCTATGAACAAAAGACAACCTGAAGGTCTTCTGTGGACAGAAGATCTCCTGAAGGTCTTCTATATGAAGATCTACTAAAGGACTTTTATAAAAAGAAGATTTGAATGTCCCCTCTAGGTAGCGGACCTCCTCCAGAAAAAGAACTACTATGGGTAATTGTAAGTATTCTTCCCTTCTATAGGTCCAATATGGATAAAATGTTTATATATAGAGATAACACCTCTAAAGACCTTCCATATATACGAAAACTTGGCTAGAAATTGCATAAAGATTTTTTTAAAAGTCTACAGAAAACCTTTACAAGGTATGAACATAACAGCTTAAAATTATATATTACGCAGAAATGTATGGTCATCTATACCTTTGCAAAGTTTCTTAACAATTTGTGTTATTTTATTTAAGAGTTCTCAAGGTCTAAATATGCACTTTATAGCTATGTAATTTGTTACGAGAGGTCACTTACAGCAGAAAAAAATAACTTTGTCAAATTTAGTGGAAATCGATTCAGACTAAGCTATAGTTCCCAGTTCCATCCGATTTGATATTTAAGCCATGCTAAACGTATTCTATAACTATCATAGTTTGTAAGATTTTCTACACAGAAATTCCCACAAGAAACGTATATTTTTTGCGGGTATAGCTGCTAAATATGTATTTGCATTTTCCCACTGGTTTTAAAGAATTTTTTCAACCAGTTATTCCTGAAAAAACATCCATAGTTTAATGAATATTGTATATAAGCAATATACAATTATTATAATTAAGAATATCGAAAACCACCCAAATGGCCATTAATAAAACATACGATATTTGTTATCTAAACTTATTTAAGCTGAAAAAAAAAAAAAAAAAAAAAAAAAAAAAAAACATGAAATTATTCTTGTCATTTTGTTTTCAAAATCGCAAACTTCATCGAAAGATGTATCCATTGTGGACTTCGGATCGTATACAACAGTCTGTCATAACTTCTGACTTGTAAGTTGTTGTTTTTGTTTTAAAATTGTTTTTTTTTTATATCAAAATTTGACTTAATTATAAGAATAACAGCAGTGCTAATTATCGCACTTTGACGTGTATATCGTATGTGTACTTTTGCACGATTTATAGCCATCACAATTATGACAGGTGGACAAAGTCCAATAAAAAACTTTTGATATACCGACGGTTAAGGAAAAAATAATAATTTTAATAAATAAATAAATAATAATAAAAGATAAATAATAATAAATATAATATAGGATAATAAAAAATATATTTTTAAGTTATTTATATAAAATAGGAAGAATATATAAGAATGAGAACTTTTCCAGAAGAATTGAGTTCATTTGTGTCATAATTAAATCTTCTCAGGCAAAGGGAAACTTTTTCTAGCTAACCTTATCTAATATCATTTTTATTATTTACTTGTCAATCTTTCTCCCTTAAAAGTTGTCATTTCGAAACAATTATCATCTCGTGTCTAATTATGACTTAACGTTGACACTGTAACTGATATTAATATCTGATTTCATTCCATTAAAAAATTAATGGAAGCTTTTAATTTTTAATTACAATAGCATGCACACGATAAAAAAGGGTTATACTGCTAAGAGAATAACATTCTAAAGGTCTTCAAAACAAATTAGTAGGAAAAATTGTGAAAACTCAAATTGAAGGTAAAAATGATATATGCCTAACTTTAAATCTAAACAAGTTAAAAAGTATCAGTCGGTTTTGCCGACAGATGCATACCCTCAGCTAATGTTCGATTATTTAAATATATTTTGACTTTTGGTATGATTATTGAAATTGTTGACTGTCTATAGAGTAGGTTCCGAACGAATGGACCAATATTGTCCATTTCGTATCGAAGATAAGTAAATATGATATAAATATTGCGTTCCAGGTTTTTGCTATATTTGTAACTTCCTTCCAATTATATGAGATATGTGATAATTTTTAGGAAATGTTAAAATGTACGTGAGGTACCGGATATAGTCGACCGAATTATACCATTTTTATATTTCATCTCATACAGATAAAAATATTGGTGTGGGCAAAATTACAAAAGATCTCACAATCTGTGGGCAAAGAACCAGATCTTGTGTTAGCAAAAATTGATCATTTGTTTTTCAAAACTTGGACCCTATATGAGGGAGGTACCAGAATAAATAGTCCGATTTCTACCTTCTTTATAACAGATCTTGTGTTGATGGATATATTGAGATGTACCAAGTCTGAATGGAATCGGATGTTAATTTCGCGTTTTATGAGCTTCATGGATATTCAATTGTTGGGAAGGAACCACAAGGGAGTGGACCGATATATTCCATCTTCGCATCCCAGACCTTGAGGACGGACATCGCTAGATCGACTCCAATTGTCCTGTAACTACGGACTAAGACTGTTACTCCAATGGGGCACGTTTTGGTCGTATCATATGACCGAGGGTACAAAACGAACCAACTACTTTATCGTCACTATAAACAATTTATTTTTTACCTTCTATTTAATTTAAAGGTTTTCGGAAATTCGAATCAAAATTGCACTTAAAGTACTAAAAGGTACTAAAAATTTAACCCATTTTATTGGCTAGAGCTAGAATTCCGAATTTGAAAATGGAACGAGGATTGCTAATGGAGTGTAGGCTAGATGTACAATTTTTTTTGGAAATGCGAACTATAGGTGTTCTCAAAGTACTA